TTTTTCAAAAAAGAAACAAATAAACCAGACTTCCTGCGCTGCAAGAGTCTGGAGTAGAGATCGAGACCCAAGACTGCTGCCTGCAGACAATCTGAAGCTGTTCCTGGGGACCCCTTTCCAGCCAGCGGAGATGGGTCTAGAAACCAGACAGTCATGTCCGGAAGGGCATGCTCCGCGCGTTCAAGACCAAACCAAAGCTGAGAATGCAGAGTGGGTCAGGGAGTCTGGGGGAAGGGAATGAGGGTGCCAGGGAAGACCTCGGGGGAACGCTGACACATCTGTCATTGGAAAACGAATCCGATGGGTAAACTTTAACCTAAGGCACAACGCAGTGTTCCAAGAAGTCTGTTCAAGGCAGGGAACCCTCACATGCGCTCTCCTCCAAGCCCCGTCGGGTGCCTGTTCTCCAGCCCGGCCTTCGTGTCAGCACCCGAGCCCCAGCGGAGAATCGGGAGGCTCTGCCTCCGGGTCTGGCAGGCAGGTGAGCACTGGAACTAACTGCCCACCCGCCCCGCCCCAGGGGGGCACTCACGTTGATCAGGGCCATGATCCAGAAAGCATAAGACACGTGGGTCCCCGTCCAGCCCTGGGCAGGCAGGCCTGGGGGCGTCTGGTTGTATCGAGACAAGGCCTCTGGGTGGTACTGGTTCAGGACCTGGTGGCTGCTGGAGGTGGCGTTGGCAGTGCCGTTGACAGGTACGCAGTCCGTCTCAGAGAGGAAGGGGTCGGCAATCAGAGGGCTCAGCAGAGCCCCGAAACCCACAAAGAAATGGAGCACCTTGGGGGGAGAGGATGGACTGGGTCAGAGCCCAGCTGAGCCTCAAGCCAAGGGGGCTGTGGCCTGGCCTCCTGCCCAGAGTGCCCGCAGTGTGCCTCCCCAGCCTCTCGGCCTGTCCTCAGAGTCCCTGCAGATCGGGGCGCAATGGCAGAGGGGGGGAGGAGTAGAGGAGGTGCCCCTCATCGTAGGAGTGCAGGCTCTCTCTCGACTGTCCTTTTCATCTGGGATAACTTGGGTGATGGTGGCCAATACCATCTGCCTTCTCTCTTTCCCCCCAATACTTCACCCCAACTAAGCAATCCCATTGGCACCAGGGCTAAGTTGGCCAAAAGGCTGGTGGTCTGAACCACCCCGCTGCTCTGGGGAAGAGCGAGCTGCCCATCTGCGCCCGCCTGTAATGACCACAGCCGGAAACCCTGTGGGGGCAGGTGGACCCTGTCGTAGGGTGTCACCAGAGCCCACCCCCAGTGAGAGTAGCTCCCTGAGCACCCGCCGGCTAACACCCCAGACAGGAAGTGGGCCGTGTCGGGACGGCTGGACTGGAGGCCACCGGGGCCTGGGAAAAGGAAGAGCAGGACAGAGGAGGAGCAGCAGTGGCCCCAGGCCCCGTTTTCATGGTGCATATAGGACGTCCTCTCACTGCCGGGGAGACCCCGCTGACCACCCTGCTCGCAGGGAGCTAGAGCGGCACACCAAGCCCAGGGAGGGCGGCTGCTGGCCAAGGAGGCCCCGAGTGGGTGCTTACCCTGTGTGGAGCCCCGTGTGCTTTCTGAGGTATACTCCAAACCAGAGAATCACTGGGAGAGGTTTGGGGGCTGGGATGCAAAGAAGAGGGGTGTAGGGGAGCCAGGGTTGCGGGAGCCCGCTGCACTATGCTCCCCCACCCCGCCCCACCCCCCTGTCCCATGCTGTCGGCCGGCCTCACCTGGAGGAAGATCGCCGAATCCTTCTGGTAGATCTTCACCAACTGCATGTTGGCCACAGTGTCGATGCAGCCCATGGCCAGGCCGGCCAGCGCCATGACCAAGGCCAGCACTTCCACGTTGCGGCAGAAGGGGATGATGACAAACACCAGCGAGATGGCCAGAGAAGAGGTGAAGAGGGCCCACAGCGACTGGGCCAGCCTAGAGCAGGGCAGGTGTGGAGTCAGCAGTGGGGGTCCCCGGAGGCCTTTGCATGAAGAACCCCGATTTCTTCCTCCATTCCTCCAAAGCCAAGACATGCCCCCACCCTCTGACCGGAAGACAGACTGAGCAGAGGAAGAGGCTCGGTCAGTTATTATTAGGGATGGGCTGTGGAGGAGGCATGGGACATCAAGAGGTGGAGTCCCTGGGTAGGAAAAGCAACCAACACACACAGTGGCCACTACCCAAAGGGTTGTTGCAAGGCCGCCCAGAGGCACTTTGGAAGAAAGGCCAGGTGATCGAATTCCACAACCTCAGACCATGCAGCCCCCAATGGGGCACAGTCTCTGTCGTAGACGCTAACACGGAGTCACCCTGAGCTGGAACGGACTGCACAGTTGCTAGTTTGTATGGGCCAGGGGACGCCGGGTCTAATTTCTCTGCCTGCATCTTATAGGTCCCCAGGCCTGTCTCAGCATTGTCGGCAGAGCCCAGACGCCGTGAGATGCTCTGCTTGGTGAGCTCTCAGCACAGGGGAAATGCGACTCTTCCTTCCAGCAGGGATGTGAAAACAAATCCCAGCCCCGTGATTCGAAACCACCAGCTGCTCAGGGGGAGAAAGACGACGCTTTCTACTCCCATAGCTTTCTACTCCCATAAAGAGTGACAGTCTCAGACACCACCGGGGCAGGTCCACCCTGCCCCTTGGGGCGCCATGAGTCAGAATTGACTTGCTAGGGACGGTGAGGGGAGGCGGTGTTGAGCACTTCGGAGGAACTGTGCTATGTGCATGACCTGGGCTCACACCCCAGCCCCAGATCCCCAGCCGAGCATTTCTCCTCGCCTAAAGGAGGGCCGCGTGCCCTCTCCATAGAGAGATGGTGACACCGGCAGTCCCTTCAGCGGGCAGCAGGGCCGGCCCGCTGGAATCAAACCCACCGTGGAAGGATCTGGGAGCCTGGTGACTCTGCCCGAGGGCGGAAGTCTGGATCGCTCTGCTCGGTAAGTATCCCGCAGGCCTTGGGCCTGTCCCACACTCAGAAGTGTCCTAGCGGCGGCCCTGACCACCTTCACCTTTCTTCGGACGGCAGAAGAGGTGGGCTGAGGGAGAGTGAGTGAGCAACGGAGTGGGTTCTGCCAAGGTGTTTGGGGGTTAGCCTGCCCAAGAACCAGACTCTGAGATAAAAGATGTGGAGGAAAAGGAGAGGGAACAATAAGAAGGTTCTGGAAGGGACAGGTTCTAGACTATAGAGGAACTTTCTCATGGACAATGGGAACGCTTCCAGCCAGTCTCCAAGCGGGCTGCTGGACTTGGAAGTTGGCAAGGTGAGGTGGGGCGAGGGGGACCAGACCACCTCTTTGAGTTTCCGGCATATTTGAGGAGAAGGAGAAGGTCCCGACTTGATCCCTCCCAAGGCTGGGAGTGCTCCTGGAAGGCCCTCAGCCCCTGCCTCTGCCCACCTCGGTGCTCAGGGTCTCATTTTGTTCCCAAGGACCCTTAGCAGACCGTGTCTACTGAGAGGAGCAATTGGGTTATTTTTCTTTCTTGGCGTCCAGGCTAATGAGATGCTGAGATTATTGACGGAGAGCAAGAGGCTGACTTTGAGACCAACCATCAGGAGGGAATGAGAGAGGGTCCCGTGGTGGGGGAAGCCCAGTTCAAGTCCTCCTGACCCCTTCCCTGTCCCTCTGTCCCTGCTGCGACAGCCCACAGTGCTGACAGCCTGGGCCTCGCCTCAGCCTGCCCTGTGGTCCCATGCACGTCTGCTCCCTGCACTGCTGCGGCCCTGTGCTTCCTGCTCTTGTGCACCAGCGCACACTGCAGGTTGGTAAAAATAACAGTCCTCTCATAATAGTGTTAGGGATTGAAGTAATCTGCTGCGACCCAGCTGATTGTGAGTTATATTGACCGGATAGGACCGATTAGCACTTCCCCCACAGGGTTTCCCAGGCGGTACTCTTCACAAAACATCTGTGATAGTTAGGGTTGCCTTGTGCCAACCTGGCTCCTGGAGGAACATGCGGGGGAGTACAGCCTGTCAATCGGTTCGCAGCTTGATGGGAGGGCTACTGAAAGAAACCGCTCTCTGAGGCCGGCCTCTTCCTCTTTTCCCTGGAGGTGGGCCACACACTCTTTCTCTGCTTCACTTTCCTGCTGTTGAGACACTCGGAGAGCTGGAGGAGTCATGTGGTGACCCCCGCCAGCGTTGAGATGCTTCCATCACCCCTGGATCCACAAGACCTTGCAGCCACTGGCCTGTGACCTTCCTGCCTTCGCCATCATTGCTGTGACCCTGTGAGTCTGAAGAGGGATTTATGGATTAGTATCGGAGTTATGGGCTTTATCTGGAATGGGCTGGGATGTTTGCGTGATATATAATTACTTCTTGATATAAAGCTCTTTCTTATCCATATATGAGTGTCCCTGGCTTGGTTTCTCTCATCAACCTGGTCTAACACAACAGCTTTCTCCTGCACAGCAGCTGGTGGGCAAAACCCACTGACCTTTGTGTTAGCTGCTGAGCGCTTACCCCCTGCACCACCAGGGCTCCTTTAAAAGAAGTTCTTCCACTGGGTCTTAGGAGAAGGTAGGAGAAGTGCTGCTTCAGATCAACTCGGACTCATCGTGACCCTGGGGAACTGAGTGGGCGCACGAGGCTATGAGGCTTTGTAAAGAGGATGGGTCATCTTCTCTGTAGTCAATGGGGAAGCCTTGTCCTGCGGAGCAGCCCTGCAGCTGGTGGGCGCAGGCCTTTCCGTTGGAATCTAGGTGCTTGTCCACTGTGAGACCAGCGCATCCGTCACAAATCTTTGTCACCGAAGCCACAATATAAAATTTAAAGTGAAAGCAAATACAACAAGTGGCTCGACCTCCACAAAAAATAAGACTAAAACACACACACACAAAACTCACAGGAGAAGGACCAGTCGAAAGCAAAGCATGAGGAAGAGGACATTTCTCCCACCGAGGCCAGAACAATGCAAAAATTTGATAGTTTTCAGACTACGGTGTTAAACATGTTCAAAGAAAATGAAAACCACAGGGAAAGCAACTAGCGGAAATCAGGGGAAAAGCAGAGCAACAGAGTGAGCGACAACATGGAAACTGGCAACAACGAAAGCAGAGGGCCACACTACGACCGAGGAACGGAGTCAACGAGCCAGAGACACGGACGGACAGAGAGACGCCAGACAACAGAACCAGCAGCCAGAAGATAGAATAAGTGAGCTCGAAGGCAGACTTACTGAAATGACAAAAGTCTCGCAGAAACACAAGTGGGGGAAGTAAAGCAAAGTCAGACCCTTAAAGGAAACACAAGATTCCAATTAGAAGCCCAATAGTCAGAATTGTGGGCATTCCAGCACACCATGAAAGTACCCAAGACATAGAAACAGTATTCTAATGAATAATCAGAGAGAATTTCCCAAATCGGAACAGAGAACAAGCCTGGAAGTACAGGCAGCTACACTAACCCCAGTTAGAAAGAGACAAGCACACCAGCCCCGTGCCATCTCCTAATAGGATTCTTGGAAACCAAAGATGAGGAGAGAACTCTGAATACAATAATACAAAGACATTTGTTAATATACCAAGGGGTTTTCATGAGAATCAATATGGATTCTCCCCAAGAAGCTCAAAGTCCAAAAGACAATGGAGAGACATATCTACACAAGGAAAGAAAACAATTACTAACCCCAAATTCTTTACCCAATAAAGTTATCATTTTAAAGTGAGCGGCAAATCAAGACATTCCCAAATAAGTAGAAGCTCTAGGAATTCGGCCTCAGCAGGCCGGCTCTATGAATATTGCTCAGGGGGCACTGCAAGGAGATGGCAGGAGCACTCAGCAAATCCTCCTGTCTCTACACAGAGAAAATGTAAGATAAAAGAGGGAGAGAACAAGAAATCTCTAAATGCAGCAACACAAACAATGACAAGGGCTGAGAATGTGATATTTCTAATAATTAAATCCTGAAAATGTACAAAACCAACCCTGTTGTTCTTATAACAATTTACTGTGCATTATGTTCTTATGATGATCATGTATGGTGTACATTATATTAGTATCAACTTCAGTCTTTTCTCGGTTTATCATGAGGTTGCTTATTGGTCCACTTGTGAGGAGTTGAGCTTTCTTCACACGGAGACCATGTAATCCAGACTGAAGGCTGGAGTTATTGATCTTCCTCAGTAAGGGCTTCAAGGCCTTTTCCCTGTCTGCAAGCAAGGCGAGTCACCTGCTTAATGCAGGTTGGTAATAAGCCTTCCTCAAATCCCGATGCCTCATTCCTCTTTAGACAGTTCAGCTTCTCTGAGTGTTTTCTCAACATACAGAAGTAATGAGGATGGTGGAAAGATGCAACCTGACTCTCACATTTCTTGATTTTTAATCCACACAGTATCCCCTTGTCCTGTCCTAACCATTGCCTCCTGGTCCCTGTACGGTTCCACGTGGGCACAAATAGGGCTTCAGGAATTCCCATTCTTCTCAAACAACAGAAAGAAGCAACACAACCAGAAGTTGGTTCTTTAAAAAGGATTCATAAAACAGACGGGTCACGGGCTAGATTGACAAAAGAAAAAACCGTTAACCGAGACCGATAACCAAATTAAGAGAGGAAATCGGTGCCATGACAACAGACCAACAGAACTAAAGAAGGCCATAACTGATCACTATGAAAAATTGTCATCCACCAAATTTGAAAACCTGGATGAAATAGACAAATTCCTAGAAACATGCTACTTATGCAAACTCACACGAACAGAGGTGGGACATTTAAACAGACCCATCACAAAAGAAGAGATTGACTATATCCTTAAAAAAAACTGCTAACAACAACAGCCACAAAACAGTCCATGACCAGATGGCTACCCTAGAAAATTCTACTAACCCTTCCACGCTGCTCCACCTCTGCAGAACCATGAGATCGTAAGAACACAGCCTGAGGCCCTTTCTTTCTTTTAATCATTGTATTAGGGGCTCATACAACTCTGATCA